TTATTGTGTACATACATGTTTTTACATTGAACATATTTTAAAAATACCTTAATATTAATTTCTTTAATTACATTTATAATTACACTGTTGACTCATCTCTTACACCTTAACCCACCCTAAAAACCTACCTATACCACCAAACCTGTCCCTAACCTTATCCGTATCCCACCTCAATAGCAGCAGAAGTGTTTTGTAATACAATATGAACACAATAAGTACATTGTACTTATTTTTTGATAGTAGTTAAGGCCACTTAATATAAAGTGGGACACAACATGTTTTTAATTTTATCATAAGTGAAAATTCTACTTTCATATTATAGCTAAATTAGCTATAATAGAAAGTTTCACTACTGAAATTAATATAATGAAAATAATATAAAATTGATATAATGTGAAATTAAATAGAATAAAACCCCAAAACTTCTGCATTAACATACAGGTTTATGTCTAAAGAAAATATAATGGTTATATCTTTATAATAAGTAATCTTTTTACTTTGTTTTAATGTTTTTGTCTTTGAAAAAGACATATTTTTGATTAAATCAAAATTGACGGTTTCAACTAAATCTTAAATATAATTTGAGAAAAGGTAATAAATATTATTAGTCATATTTTTACTGTTTTCATGTTTTAGTCTTTGAAAAATAAATATTTTTGATTCATATATGTTTTTTTTATTCATATTAATGTAAAATGTAAAGTTTTAAACCAAACCATAAATATAATTTGAGAAAATAAATCAACAAATAAAGTATTTTTAGCCCTTTTGTTTTTCAGTGTAGTAGTGACTAAAATAGCCCCTAAATGTGTTTTTGGATTAAGGAAACTGATGAGAGACATAGAACAGGTGAGCCAGACAGGAGGTAAATGAAAAGAGATGAAAAAAGACAGAGAGAGAAAGTATGAGGGGAAAGAATGAGGAGTAGGTGGGGGTTGGGGAATACATCATCTAAAGCTATTGGATGGCATTAAAGAACTAGTAATGCAAGAATCCCTCTATTGGCTCTAGTGCAGATTAAAGGTTGTGGGTTTTGCGTGTGGAAGCTATTATATAATTCATCCTCTGATGAAATTTTTACCACATTGGCAGTTTTTTATTCACGAAAATCTCATATTATTTGTCAGTGTTGTGTGTGCCTGTGTACATGTGCAATTCCCTGCACATTTTTTTTCCTTTCTCCCAGCATGCCATGGACTCTTTTGATCAATCTTGCTGCCTACGCTTAACCACACAAAGACAACACACTCCTACAAAGTGCACAGTGCTTGCAATGAGTTGCAAAAGCATAAAACAAGGAATTGCACACCTTATCAAAGTCACCAAAGAAATCAGTTTAATCTTTGGTGGGTTTGGATTTCATGTCCATGTGATGAAATGTTAGAGAAACCTGCAGTGAGCATTGCTGGCACATGTGATGTCCATTTGAAACCTGTTTATCATTTTAAAGCAGCGTGTCATTTTGTTTTCAATGTTAAAAAGTCACGGTTTAATGTACGGAAAAAAGTAAGTAAGTATAAATAAGAGTATAAGTAGTAGGCCTAGCTTGACTTTCTAGAGTCTCAGGACGGTCGACCTAGTGGGATGCTTTTAAAGGGGAGGAATTGAAAGATGCTACTTGTCTGAATAGATTGCTAGATGTATTTGTAACAGAGGTCAGATGATGAACTGTACAGGTAAACCTCCCTCCCCTGGCCTCTATTGTCAGTTCAAGCCCCACTTTCATTAATCATGGAAATACAAATGAAGATATTTTTAATGAAACCCGAGAGATTTCTGTCCCCCAAAACATCATATAAAGAAATTGTCTCTTCAGACAACTTGGATTAAAGCACTCAGTTAAGTCATATTGATTACTTTTACAATTGTCTTTATACATTTTTTGGAGCATGAAAGTTTTAGTGGAAAGAACTTACAATAGAGGGACAGAAATGAATGGTGTACGGTTTTGCCTCCTGTCCAGCCACAGACTCAGGCTGGGCCCAGAAAAACGAAAACACTGTGGCTGATTGGATGCAGATTAAAGCTGCCTCTTTGACCTCACAGCTGGAACAAGAACGCAGTGTGAATAAATCCATCATAAGTGAGGGCTCCAATCACATAATTCACTCACCTGATGTGACACCTTCTACAGAGCTAGAAAGCACCTAGAAACCATTCAAATGGGGAAAAAAAACACCCATTGAGATTCAACTTTAAAGCACTCAAACATTTAAAATACTTGATACTACAGAGGGAGTATTATACAGTTTAATTTCTGTAGACATATCAGAATTGGAAAACAATTGGAATTGGTCAACTCATTTTTGGCACTTTTAGTGTTTACATGTACTGTTAGTCGTTTGTGACATTCACAAACTCCATATGCAGATAATAATGAATTGAATTATAAAGACCCCCCAATTGCATGCAAATAATAAAATGCATTTGCAACTTCATCCAGTGCGTTTTAATGTTCTAATGCATAATGTATAATCAGAGAGTGAGCTCCAAATGATTCAATGCATGAGATGTGGTTTTGAGTCAAGATCGAGACTCCAGCTTTGCCTGATATACAGTATCATTGATATATCACTTTATTGAATCGATAAGAAGATGTAGTCTACAAATGGTTGATATGGTACCTAATGGTACTGGTTATGTACACTGTAAAAAATGACCGTGAATTTAACGGTAAAAGACTGTAAAAATGCTACAGTAAAATCCTGTTAAATGGTTAACGGTAAATTCCCCTACTATATACGGTGAAAAACTGTATTGGACATTACATGTATTGGACATTAATTTTACGGTAGTATACCGTTTTTGGAAGTGAAAAAGACTATAATTTACAGTGAATAACCGTAAATTGACATTCCCAGAATTCCCTGCATTACATTTCAAATTTGATGTTTTTTTGTTGAAATAACTATGTTTCTTCTAAGTTTTTTCTTATCAGTTTTGTATATTAGGGTTGTGTGTTACACCCAATGTTGTTAAATGAATGTGTATTGCATTATTTCAGTTTCATGTGTGTTACCATGATGGTGTTTAGTGTTTGTGTGAATGACACTGTGCACCTTCTACATTATTATTTAAAAGCTGCTTGTGATAGGCTTTGGTTCATCATGTGACTTTCTCATCACCACCTGCATTTGGTGGTTATCAGTGTATTACAAAGGTACAAAACAGATTTCAGTACTTCAATAGGTTGTTATATTAACATTATATCAGTTAATGAAATTACGGTATTTAACTGTAAATTTAAGTTAAAACTGTAAAACCTAAAACGTTGCTACCGTATTTTTTGCTGTAAAATTCCGGCAACCACAGCTGCCGGATTTTTACCGTAAATTTCACGGAATTTTTTTACAGTGTACTCTAACACCTTTGCATAAACAAGCGTTTGGAGTATTTCTGACTGTGTTTGTGTCTGCTGAGGTCTGGGATGTCTGGCATGCTCAAGTGATGCTGACTCTGATTTAAAAATTAATGAGATCGGAAAAGCGACTACATTTCTGGACGAGGACACAAAGAAATATCTGGTAAAAGGTTTTCTGAAGAACACAATGTTTCAAATAATCAGTTCAATACAATAAGGTTCCAGTTGTTAACTTTATGTAACATGACCTAGCTTACAATGAGCGTATGTATTTTTATTAACTAACATTAACAAATATTAATAAACACTGTAATAAATGCATGACTCATTTTTAGTTAATGTTAGTTTATGTATCATCTAACATTAATTAATCATGAAGTACTGTTGCCATGATTGCAAAGTTGTCTTTTATTTAACATGTTGTTAAGGGTCTGCTTTGTGCCTTTTTTTCTTTCAAAAACTACATCTATGTGGTTTGCAATAAGAGCAACATTAGATTTTTTTTTAAATGCCTTACAATTTTTTTTTTGCGATAATAGCGATTTTTTACATTTTTATTCAGAACACTGAATATACGTTAACACGCAAACCACAATAGTGTTTAAACTGTATTCGTGCAGAGTGAGAGCTTATGTTGGTGTTTATGTTGTCAAGATGTCCAATTTTCCTCCTCTGTCCACACCGACAGCTACTCTCTTATCTCATTTGTGGGTCAGGTTGATGCTAAAGTCATTGCTATGGTAACACAATTACATATACTGGATATATGCTCTCTGAATAATAAATCTGATTTCATTACTTGCATAAAGACAGAGTGGATAGTTCGTCCTACAGATTTGAAAACCATATCAGAATTGGGTACAGTGTGAACCTAACCTTTCAAGCCTATGAAATTTGGTTGAAGTGGATGGGGATTGACTTTAAGAAAATGCACGCAATATTCACCCTCCACTTGCACAAAACAATCCAAATGTGCACAATTACAGAACCTAGAAGAAAATATGCAAATACCCCATAGACAAAAGCTGTCTTACAGAGCCAGTCATCTTAAATGTAGAGCGTAAGTCCAGACCCACTGATGCACGAATTCAATCTGTTTTACTCCTGCCTTCCCTTACAAACATATGTAATCTCTCTCTTTGTCCATCTCTCTCTCTCTCTCTTGCTCTCTCTTTCTCTCTCGCTCAATCAAACACTGGTACAGAAATAGCCCTAACGACAGTAACAACTGAGATGTAAAATTTAAGCTGTTGCTATGGGAAATAGAAGAGAACAGGTCTGACTGCCATCATGCTACCAAATTAATGAGCAGTATAGAGACTAGCATCGACACAAGTTATTGTACCAATAATACAGGTTACCATGTTAACAGAGTTTAACGGCGCAGAAGGAGCTATAATTAGAGCTCAAGAGAGCAGAATTGTTTCAAAATTAGAGCTCTTAATTAAATGTGCAAAGTTGGTCTTGAAAGTAAAAAACGCACATTTGAATAGCAAATGCGAACATCTGCAATGCTAATTAGCTGGTAGCCTAAATAAGGGACAAATTACGTCAATGGAAGAAACTGAGGAAATGTTTTTTGTTTGGGCCTTGTTTATATTGTACATCCAATCACATTCCCTCTTTTTCTCTCCACCAGGATTCTACTGACAGTTGTGGTGATATTCCGTATCCTGATTGTGGCCATCGTAGGTGAAACGGTCTATGAAGACGAGCAGACCATGTTTATCTGCAACACCCTCCAACCTGGGTGCAACCAGGCCTGCTACGACAAGGCCTTCCCCATCTCTCACATCCGATACTGGGTCTTCCAGATCATCCTTGTTTGCACGCCCAGCCTGTGCTTCATCACCTATTCAGTGCATCAGTCGGCCAAACAACGTGACCGTCGCTACTCCTTCCTCTACCCAATGATGGAGAAGGACTACAGTCGTGAGGGTACCCGCAAACTACGCAAAATTAATGGCATTTTGGTGCAGCACTCTGACAGTGGTGGCGGAAAGGATGAACCTGATTGCTTAGAAGTAAAGGAGATCCCAAATGCTCCAAGAGGCCTCCTGCATGGCAAGAGCTCCAAGGTACGACAACAAGAGGGCATCTCTCGCTTTTACATAATCCAGGTCGTGTTCCGCAACGCACTGGAGATAGGCTTCTTGGCGGGACAGTATTTTCTCTATGGCTTTAGTGTCCCCGGCATCTTTGAGTGTGACCGCTACCCCTGCCTGAAGGAGGTGGAGTGCTACGTATCACGGCCCACTGAGAAGACGGTCTTCCTAGTGTTCATGTTTGCAGTGAGCGGGATCTGCGTTGTGCTCAACCTTGCCGAGCTCAACCACCTGGGCTGGCGGAAAATCAAGGCTGCCATTCGAGGTGTGCAAGCCCGCAGGAAGTCCATCTGTGAGATCCGCAAAAAGGACATGGCCCACCTGTCACAACCGCCAAACCTGGGCAGGACCCAGTCCAGCGAGTCTGCTTATGTCTGATCTCCATTCACCTAAATATGGAGTCACAAGGAGTGGAATGCGGTTATGGTACTTGTGCAAATGTTTATAATGGCAAAGGGGGAGTGAAGTGAAGTGACGTGACATGTGGCCAAGTATGGTGACCCATACTCGGAATTAGTGCTCTGCATTTACCCATTCAAAGTGCACACACACAGCAGTGAACACACACACCGTGAACACACACCCGGAGCAGTGGGCAGCCATTTTATGCTGCGGCGCCCGGGGAGCAGTTGGGGGTTCGGTGCCTTGCTCAAGGGCACCTCAGTCGTGGTATTGAAGGTGGGAGAGAGCACTGTACATTCACTCCCCCCACCTACAATCCCTGCCTGTACGAGACTCGAACCCACAACCTTTGGGTTATGAGTCCGACTCTCTAACCATTAGGCCACAACTTCCCCAAGGGGCTCCACATAGCCACACCTCTTTCCCACAAGCCACTCCCCCCCCCTCTCTATGCCATATGACAATGTTTGAGGAAGTTTGCACAATGTTAGGCTTCAGGAACAGCATGTGAAGACAGGGCATAAATGGGAATTTTTGAGTTTCGAACACAAGGATCAATGGAAGTGTGAAGAGCGTAAGGTACGAGTACGATACAGGGAGGTGATGGATGTCTAACACAGAATGTAACGGAAATGAAAGAATCTGGGTCTGCTTTCCCACTTTTCTCACTTTCACATCTTGAGGAAAGAGGAAAAAGAAGGATAGTCAGCAGAAGAGCGTAGCATGACAATAACCTCCCACTTTCCTCAACCGTTGTCACTGAGATGGTGCCAGAAAAAGAATACTGTTTAGGTTTGCTCTCCTGGCAGTGCATCGGCCTAAAACAAACAACGGGTGGGATATAAACATTGTTACAGCAGTGGCACCTTCACTTTGACATTTAATTGAACAAACATTAGCATCTTCTTTTGTCATCTCTCTCTGGTTGTCGTAAAAGACTAGGAGAGGATTATTACCTCCGCGCAAAGTGTGCCCTTCCATAAAGACACCCACTGTGTTCCAGTCAAGTATTGCATGAATGTGTGTTTATATGTATGTATGTGACCAAAGTTGAAAGAATTTAGAAATCTCAGATTCCTTTTTGTTCATTTTAAGATTATACTTCTTTTTTTTCTGCAAAGGTTGGTGCCATCAGCTTAAATTACTGTTTATTTCAGAATATTATTTAAAACATATTTAAAAGTTTATTGCAAAGTTAGATTATTTATCTTTATTGGGAAAGAGAGCCAACCATGCTGAAAAGAATTTCCATGCTGGGCCAAGGCTGGTTTATGCTGGTTATTGCTGGTTTAACTGGTGGAAAAGAGTAACCATGCTGTGCACCAGCAAAAAAAAAGTAACCAGCATGGTCTTTCTGGTGAACATGATTAACAAAAGAAGTCTTGTGTGTTATGATAGATGCTTGATGGGGACACCCGTAAAAATAATTGAAAAGAAATGTTTTCATGTATCCAAATGTTTCTATCAGATGAATTCCTTATCAAAAAATTAGCATAAAGGTATCTTTCAAAGGCATGTTTACAAAGCTTTATATGTCAAATGACTTTTGAAATGAAAAATTGATGTTCAGTGTGTGTTATTAGGAAAAAGGATCAATTAATAGTGTTTTTATTAGCTTTTCTCTTCTCGTCACGTGTTTAATCGGCATGCCTTTACTATTAAGAAAAGAAGAAGCTTAGAAAAAAATATATGTATGCAATGCACTTTGTGGGGATGTGAAGAGTGGATAAAAGGAGAAACTCACTCTGGGAAGGACATTATTGGTGGGAAAGTGAGCCTTTTGAATTGGTCCATCTGAAATAAGATCGATGACAAGTGCGTAGGTATGTGCGTTTATGTAGCTGTTATCCACTGTGTGCCTTTGTTTACACAGTGTGGGTTAAAGCAGAGTGTAACATCTCTAACAAACACACACACACAAACATTTGAGCACTAGGCCCACTAAAGAACGTACTTGTGCCTACACCGCCCTGACTCCACTCTGCACGTGCACATAAAACAACCCAGTGTAGACAGAAGAACACAGTGCAACTAACACGGACCAGCTCGCTGACATACCGCAGACACAGAAAACACTGTCAGACAAGATACAGAGAGAAAGAGAGGAAACTGCAGAGGCCCTTTAATAGCAACACAATTGTCCTGACTTAGGCATTTCTTGCAGAAAAAGCTCTTTCACAGGAAAGTGTGTGTTTATGTTTAGCTTGACATGAAGTGCAGTTTAGCCACAGTTCTGATTCAGGCCAGAAGTCAGTGTGAGGATGGATATTGTTGTTTACATCTAAATTGAACGAGAGGTATAAAATCGGCCACATTTCTGAGGCGTCCAAAGCATGTCACATTTGTTTTACTGCAAATGTAAACAGCTCGTAAATGATCCGTAAAAACTTAGAAGCACTTGTGGACTTTTCTGCACTTCATCCAAGATGAGAACATGATTACATTTAGACCCAGGGTACAAAACGAACACTCATCAAGCGGTAAATGTGATTGGCAAGTACATAAACGAAGCTACTTGCTAGTTTATTAGGAGCTGCAACAGTACTGCAATAATATGACCCTCAACAAAGTGATGCAATTCAAAGACATACAAACTACTACTGCTGTTATTTTTAATTTAAATGCAAATACAATTCCATGGCCATTAATAAATATTTAGGGCTGGTACACGTTCTAAATTCACCTGCCATTTGCCAGCATGGTGAAAAGTTCATTTTCAACCCTGTGTATACACTCTAACATGCAATCTATTAAATAGTATTTTTGTAGCGTAGAACTAAATCTAACACAAATTTAATGAGGGTTGCGTAAAACAACACAAAATGCCAATGAAATAAAAAAGATATTGGTTCTCTTAACCAAATTTGGTTCTCAGGTAAAGTAATCTTAAAATTGAAATTGTATAAGAGTCTACTAAACCTAAAATTAAGTTTTAAAGAGGGTTTAGATATTTTTTTTACTGGAAAACAAGACTCACTTTTAATTTAATCAGAACAAATAAATAGTAATGGCTGAAAGTAAGGCTCAACAATCTTTCTTAACACAAAAGTTTGATTGTATCCTCTGCAGATCTAATAGTCGGGACCAGTTTAACATGTAAATTATAAGGGACTATAGCCATTATTGTGTGGGGTAGAAATGAAATGCACCCTACACTTGGGACCAAGCGTCCTGTGTTAGAGTATTCCGGTTCTTTTATTCTGATCTACGAAAATAGTAACTCTGCCAAAATCATAACCTCTGTAACTAAAGGGCATCTTTTACAAGCATGTTATTTTCAAGTGCAGTTCAGAGTTTATGAAGATTGCTTCCCCAAGTGAGAATTTCTTCATGTGCTTAATCCACTCTTCTCCTCAGTCTATTTTTATAAAACCTATATCAGAGTTTGAATCCTAGACAAAAAAGAACAATGTCAGATTTTGTTTCTTCTCTTTTTATTTATTCCAGCTTGTGAATTATGTTTATATGTGGCACTCTTTTTTACAGTGCTGTAATATGAGGGACACAGCAGGGGGTATTACTATTTAATGACCAGAATTAGGATTTAAAATGTGGCTTTACTTGCCAAAGTTTTGTTATATGCAACTTAATTACTTGGGTTTCAGTGAATGGGTTGTTCAATTACTGTAAAGCATGTGTAACTGATATGGAAAGCATGTTTTTGTTCTTTTATTTCACTGTTTTTTTTATGAATCAGGAAAGCAGGGACAAGTAAATGGCATGGTTAGATTAGAAAACTGGGTAAAATGGTAAATATGTCAGGCATTCATGGGCCAAAACTAAATTATAAGACTATAGCAGGTATTTTAAACTACGCAGACTGCAATCTTGTTACATATGCAACACTTGATTTTGAGCACAAACATTTGACACGAGGGTCAAAAAGTATTTTTATGGTTACACACATCCTGTAGTCACTGCCAGACAATTTTGTAGAAAATAAGTGTTTCACAAAAAGTGTTTTTTGAGACATAATTGATGTGTAAATAAGCAACCTGTGTGTTTAATTGACAATATGACGTACTGCCACTGATCATCTTAAATGTGAGATGAAGACATTAACTGCTGATATTTCAAAAAGTCATAATGGTAATTAAACACCCATAAAACATAGCAGACCAGTGCACACGAAAGAAATGTCTCAGGTGACAGATTTTTAAAATGACACATTTCTACAATTATTATTCAATGTACATTATCTTTGCAAAAGCCAATTGAAAGTTTGCCCATGTTTTATAGAGTTGAAAAACAAAAACTACTGATAAATTGTCAATTATCTGATAACAGAATCTTTTACAAGCATGTTTTCGGGATGCATACAGTGAAAATAATCAGAATAATGCTCAAACATCAATCTAACGAGTCTCTCCCGGCAGTGCCAAAAGATTTTTACAGCAATCATGCTACACAGATTTACATATGAATACAACAGAGTCAAGTTCATTCCCCGTTAGCTCAGGAAAAACAATCGTTCTAATCTCACGTTGATCCCTTTTGAATGATCATCACATGTCCCAGAATGCTCTCTGAGCGTCTGCCAGAAATCACGGCACCCACAGTCACCCGTGTCCCAACCACACTTTTCCATTGCCAGCTCAGGTTTTCCTCTAGAGCTCTGGCTCATGATCAATCCCTCATTTCAGCAAGGACAGTTAAATGAGATGATGCCGTTTTAATTCAATTCAAGTTTAGTCTGTTTAGTCTGTTGTCCTTTGCTTAATAACCACTGTTGTAGTTCCAAACTGCTCAAAAGACGACATCTTATGTTTTAATTCACAAATAGGGTTCGCTTTCCCTTTTTTCGTTATAAAACCGGTCTTGGGTGGAACTTTAACCAATTACAACTCCACGTGTGCTGCCAGGGGTGTTTGACACCCGCCGCACAAGCCGTACTAATCTCTCAGGAATAAGAAGAGTCGCCGCTCCTAATCACTCCCAGCTGCTTACACGGCCGTATAAACACTAGATTAGCACTTGGCAAAGGCAAAAGGGCAGACGAGTCATTCCTCCCTCGTACCTGCACCATCACATCAACACACGCCGCTATA